TTAATTTCAGACTTTGTCCCTTGCAACTTTTGGATACCAGGCTCCAATGTTTTTATACAATCATAGAAATGTTTGTATTCCGGTACTCCAGAAATAAAAGTATTGGGCTACCTGTGTTTTGATATCGCCCCAGTCTTCMCCGCGTATTGTAGAGAAGGCTCGGTTTTTGTTGATATCACTCTTGGCTTCCGGAATGAAGATGAAATCGAATATTGAAAGATGTCTTGTATAAATTTCGATTAGTTATTACGTTGAATTCTATCAGGGATGSTATTTGATGTTTTACACACTTATTTACGGCAACGATCGTTGGTAAAAGTAACTTTTGTTSGATAATTTGTGCAAAGATACAATAGCTTAGACGTGAGGTCATTTGGATGTCACACAAGAAGAGGCGATCGTTACAATTAGCAAAGAATCGACCAACAAATATCCTCTAAAGTATAAGTAAGTTGGGAATGATAGTTGTATTTTGCAATTCTATACAATCTTAGCTCGATAAAAACTCAAGTTTTAACTGTTTAATGCAGTTTGATCTTTCTTGTCGAGCAGCTTACAGCAGACTTGCACTTAAAATTAAGAATTTAATAAAAGTTGTCAAATGTATTTTCTTGAYGTTCAAATGTTAAATGTATTATATTTCTATTAATATACACATTGTTACTAAGCTGATTATTACAAGATTAGTGACTTATTATCATCAAACTTATATATTTCAGCGAATTCGTCTGCATTACGTCACATTCAYTAAACTGTCAAAATGAATTCATAAGACTCAATGTTTTCATTCAAGTCAAAGAGTGCAACCCTGAAAGATGGGATACTGRATCAGATCGGAGAGCAGATTAAAGCGGTTTGTGCCAATTCTAATAAGATTTAGTAGAGTTTATGCCACTGGAAGCTTTTTGTTGCTATATCAAAAGTCAGTAAACAATGGCTGGACCCCTCACACTGGACCCCTCACATCTCCTTTCATGTCCTCATAACTTCATGAACAACTCACTTCTGTGGACACAAGCAGAGTGCATTGTTAATGTGTCATTTATTTCTTATTGTTGTTTACTTTTGGGTTATTTTATATTGTAGCTTCAACTTGGTAAGCAAAATGCAGAAGAAGAAGGGTTGACAGACTTCAAAGTKACRTCTGACAATATTCATCTTCAATGTCTACTTGATTTACTTGATCATGTCATGCTCCATGGGTAAGTTAAAGAGGACGTCAGGAATCATTAATGGTTGCTATTACTACAATGCTAATGATTTYTTTTGTAGGCTTGAAAATGTTGAGCATGGATACTGGCCTTATGTCATTAACCTCACACATTCAGCTACCATAGATTTAATATCAAACCATCCTCAAGTTACTAACGACCTGGATAAAGGTTAGTGTTTGCATTGTCATCATTATGTTTCCTGTGGTTCTCATGTGTGATGGTGTTTGTCGTTAGGACGTGTGTGGGTGTTTATTGCTTTATGTGATGGTCTTCTTGAAAGTTATATTCGGTTGTTTTTGGAGGAGCAAAAAGAAGTAAAGAAGTTTTACACAAGGTAAGTCCTCCAATATTATTAATGTAGACTTTATTTCAAATCAGTTGAGCCATCCATAATGTTTATATCTAGATTTTAATATTTACGTTTCTGTGAATACAGGCATTCATTTCTGAGAGATAAGGAGGTAAGAAGATTTCCCCTCACATTTTGCAAGTATTATTGTGAGTTAACTTATTGATTATTGTGTTCTTGTTCACTAACAGAGACTTCTTGTACTTCAAACGCTAGTTTCTGGTTTGGATTTTGTGAATTTTGACTTACATTTGGTAAGACAAATCTCCAGACATCCTAACACATTTCTTTCTTGTAAACTCTCCCATCCCCATTTCACTTCCCATTTTTCCCTTCACATCCTAGTTTTATCTTCAGTGAAATTCATGTGTTAAATACCCATTTATGTATTTTATCAGAGTTATCCATATTTGGGATATGGAGGTCTTCTTTCTCCCAGCATTCAAGGTGAGAATTGGCAGTAACATTGTAACACCTTAGCAGAACTCACCCAATGAGATGTATTTGTAATCCATTGTCTTTTCATCTTACAATGCAGTCACTAGCCCATCATCTAGTAAAAGCACAAGTCCTCGAATGTCAAGTAGTTCGTCCACATTGGTTGGATCACCAAGTAACAGCGATGAACTAACGGATAAACATCCTTGTGACGTAGATAATCTCCATAGTAACGGGCATTTAAAGGGTTCTCCTAAATCCAATATGAATACGACATTGCATCAACTCATCAAATATGATAAAGACACTAAAAAGGTTGTCGGTAATGATCGATCGTTGTCGGCGGAAATCGAACAGCTAACATTAATGGATCCCAGGAATGCAAAGGTCGACGAAGATAGCACCCGTGCATTAACTAATGCTGCTTATAGCGATATTATGAATGATTATCGATTTCGTGGAGACAGCAATGCGTCAACTGATGTATCTATGGATGAACCGCTGGTAAATCGTACTTATATACGTTCAAATAGAAAGAAGAAGACGAAACAACGTGCGCGATCTGATCCAAAGCAAGCAGAGCATCATTACCCTACCCCTGATGACAAAGAACATTCAGTAGACTACGAGGACTTCAACGACTCTAAAGGTAAGATTTTATTCCGAATACCTTCCGATCTCTTTCCGAAGCTCACTTCATGARCATAAGTCATGTTGTGATATATATTTAATAGATACAAGACACTTCACATCATATTTATCGGACTATCGTCGGGACGTCGATTCAGAGAGCTTGGGTAGTGCTGTRTCACGTGATTCCCTCGATCAGTTCTGTCGTGACACTGATTTCGGGTCCAGTCTTCACCTGGAAGGTAGTCCACAGGTCAAGGAATGTGTTAACGAACAGCCAACATTCGTAAAGGAGAACTTTGAAAAGACTGAGAATAAGGAAGAGAGTGCGGCAGTTTTGGATAATGCGTCTTTAGAATATGAAGGTATCCCTGTTTCATTGTTCTGTCACCTCACTTTTATGATGGTCACGTGACTYGCATTCATAAGAGTTAACTGTAAATGACTTTCCTATATTCTCTCCCGATATTTCACGGCAATTGGATTGGATTMAAACGTACTTTTTGGATTTAGGTATAATAATGAGTTTACCAAAGAGACCAAGTCTACAGGATATGCCAGGAACAGACTGTGATGTCAGGTATGTCCATTTTACGACTAACRTCCTGGACAGCGAGAACAYGAACAATCCTCTTTCCTTTGCAGCTTGGACACAAATACACTTTTGTTGCTATCRTTAGAAATCTACAAAAACAACGAAGAGCAGTTTCATAGGGTAAGATCGGATGCAATGCCACCCCATACAGGATGATACCATATTATAACGATCAGCGATATCTTTTCAGATGCTACGGACGTCGACTGGTCACCAGTTTGGACAAATGCAGTGCGCACATGTCATGGTTACAGATTTTGCGGTGTATCTGTTGAGAAAAGGTGGGGAATAAAGCTCTAATACTATTCATAGATAGGTGATTCGTAAAACGGTTGATTGGTTGATAGCTCGATTGATTCGTGTGGGATGTATTTCTAACTTGAWTGGTTGATAATGGGCTGATTGCCAACGAATAAATCATTATTTTACAGTAAAGTTTAGAGAAGAAGCAAGCTTTCACACTGATCTTTATATCGAGTTTTCAAATATCAAGTCAATAGAGGTAAAGTACTTTAATTATCAATTATTTATTATTGTCATTGATCATTATGTTGTTGATGATAGATYGGGCTCAATTGCCAAATGGTTACAGTCCGAGCCAAGAAAGAAACATTTCTTATTTCATTTGGAGACGAAGCTGTGTCAAGGTACAATAGTATTCCAACACGTCCACACCTATGTTTTTTGTTGCTGATCTCTGTATTTTTTATTTTAGGAGTTTTATCACCTCACTGACTTCACAGATGGCTCGTGCCAGCCCTTCTCTGTCATTATCCAATCTTGTAAGCAGTTCAGCATTACAGCAGGAGGCAACGCTTACAAAATGGATGGCAAAAGATAAACAACTTAATGTAAGATAAACAACGTCCATTGCTGAAAACTTGTTAGCCATCAGATTTGTGGGTTTGTGCCCCAGTGCACGCTTATCGCTGCGTAAAGAAGGATCCGGCGTTATTAAGAAGTTATCCGAGTTAAACTGAATACGTCAATGTTTCAGATGTCAAGTCCCAATATATCTAACTTCTCATTGGTTCATTGGTGTGGCCTAACAGGCCGTGATTCCATCATTGAAGTTATCAGCTATCAAAGTATGTGACAAAACGATAATGACAAAAGTTGAATCACCATCTTTATCACTTTTATAATCTTATTAATTATGTGTGTTTCAAGGCGTTATGGAGGGGACATTGGAATTCAGGAGTCAAAATCTTTTACGCAGCTCTCGATGGACCGAAGGATACTTTGTACTAACGTGAGTACATGAATGAATTTACAGTCTTGTTATCTTGACTCAATAATTCTGTGTGGTTTACAGGAATGGAACTCTGTGGCAATATCTGAATCAGGTACAGTATTAAATGCACAATGCTCTTTTACTATTGTCATCATTGTTGCTATTGCTATGGTGCCTTATATGTTTAAAAGTATATTATTTCTTCTCTAGAATGACAAGACGGCAAGAAATATGATAGATTTGAGGTACCTTTTTCTTGATTTTCAAACCAATTCATCCTGGGAAACCMAGGGAATCTCCCCGACATTCACTGAAAAACCCCGAGGGTTAGGGTTAGAGTTACCGATGATGTTAACCTGGTAGTCAGCCTTGTGTTTGTGATAATAATAAGCCATGATTTTCTGAAATCTAGAGAGTCTCGTTGTGGAGGGTGCAGACAACTTCACGATGCAGATCGCAAATTTGCGTTTGAGGTACGGCTCTTCGTACATTTATGTAGATTGATTCCCATCAGTCACTCTGCGATTTATCTTGACAGATCGTATCATCAGATGGGACAGGATCTCTTCTGGTTTTGGCTGCTAAAACTGAACACGAGGCTTGTGAATGGATATTTAAAATTTGTCAGTCAATTGCTGAGTCTGTAAGTCTTATAGTATTTATAGAGTATAAAAGTGTGTGTGTGTACATTGGACCATTATATTAAACACCTCTAATACTGTACTTTATTTCAGTACGATGACGAGACAGACCGAGGTTGCACTGTCATGAAGTGTGTTCCCTCTAATCTCATTACGACGAAAGAAAAGGTTAGAGACTGGTAACCACCCTCACTATGACGTCACTGACTGGTCAAACTGTAATAATTTATATAAAATCTTCTCCTTTTTTCAGATTGTTGTCTGTCTTGCACAACCGAACAATGAAAACGAGTATAAACTGATAACGAGCTGTGCTCTGCAGAACATTACGAAGATTTACGTGGACAACGAAATCAGAAATTATTGTATCTTAGTAAGTGTAAATAATATTTATAAAAAAATGTAGTCACAACAATATAACGTTGCCTAATAACTGAAAACATTCTTTCTTTCCGTAGAAATTCGAATACAATGAAATTGGAGGCTCTGAAGGCTCGTGGTTTATTTCTTTCAATTCTGAATTTGAACTTGGTAAATTTGAACATTCTCTTGCTGAGGCTTGGCGGGAACTATTCCAGGTAACACCACAGTTAAGGGCATGTATCATTCTCAGAAGGGTACTATTCCAGGTAACACCACAGTTAAGGG